GAGCTGCACGCAAAAGCTGAAGGGTTAGCCAAATGACGCCAAATTATGACGTGCGCCAAGGATCGTCTGAACCCCAGCGCAGGTTCAGACGATCCTTGGCGCACGTCATCGCTTAGTCATCATTTTTAGCGAAAATGAAGATTTATATGTAGCTCTGCCAAATCTGGTCCAAATGACATGGGTTTTTTTGCAGTATGCACTCCTTAATGGTAGGATCATTTTGAAATGAGGCTAAATGTAGGTAAATACAAATAAATAGTCCGAAATGACATGTGTACTTTCAGGAAACATTGGTTTTATGTAGCTCTGCCAAATCTGGTCCAAATAACATGGTTTTTTTTGTAGTCTGCACTCCTTAATTGTAGGATCATTCTGAAATGAGGCTAAATGTAGGTAAATATAAATAAATAGTCCGAAATGACATGTGTCCTCTCAGAAAACATTGGTTTCTGTATACTGATCTTGAATTCACATGATATCACATAGTTTAAAACAAATGCAAACAGTATTACCACACACACAGTGAAATTGTTTGCACATGTTGAATGATTGGTAATCCATCTTGGTCCACTGAAAATGAAGATTTCTATGTAGCTCTGCCACTTCTGGTCCAAATGACATGGTTTTTTTTGCAGTCTGCACTCCTTAATTGTAGGATCATTCTGAAATGATGATAACTGTAGGTAAATACAAATAAATAGTCTGAAATGACCTCAGGATATGTTGGTTTCTGTATATTGAAGTTGAATCCACATGATGTTACATAGCTCAAAATATAGACAAACAGTTTTACCGCGCACGTGGTGAAATTGTTTGCACATATTGAATGCTTAGTAATCCAATCTGGTAGTCTGAAATGACATCTGTACTCTCAGGATATGTTGTTTTCTGTATGCTGAACTTGAATCCATATGATATCACATGGTTAGAAACAAATGCAAACAACTTTACCATGCAGGAGGTAAAATTGTTTGCATATATTGAATGATTAGTAATCAATCTTGGTCCACCAAAAATGAAGATTTATATGTAGCTCTGCCAAATCTGGTCCAAATGACATGGTTTTTTTGCAGTATACACTCCTTAATGGCAGGATTATTCTGAAATGAGGATAAATATAGGTAAATACAAGTAAACAGTCTAAAATGACATATGCACTCCCAGAAAACATTGGTTTCTCTGTATACTGAACTTCAATCCACATGATATCACATGGTTAAAAGCAAATGCAAACAACTTTACCACATAGGAGGTAAAGTTGTTTGCACATGTTGAATGATTAGTAATCCATCTTGAAGATTACTACCTAGCTCTGCCACTTCTGGTCCAAATGACATGGTTTTTTTAGCAGCATGCACTCCTTAATTGTAGGATTATTCTGAAATGGGATAAATGTAGGTAAATACAAATAAATAGTCTAAAATGACATATGTAGTGTTGGAAAACATAGGTTTCTGTACACTGAACTTGAATCCACATGATATCACATGGTTTAAAATAAAGACAAACAGCTTTACCATGTGTGTGGTGAAATTGTCTGCACATATTGAATGCTTAGTAATCCATTCTGGTGGAAACAAGGATTTCTACCTAGCTCTGCCACTTCTGGTCCAAATGACACAGTTTCTTTTGCAGAATGCACTCTATATATGCAGAATCATTCTAAAATGAGGATAAATGTAAGTAAATATAAATAAATAGTTTGAAATGACATGTGTAGTTAGTGTGGCGGGAATTAGGTCGCCCAAATTTGCATCTGCAAATTTGCACTGCAAATTAGCGCAAATTTGCAGGGTGGCGCCACGAAGTCCAAACTTGGGGTGCAATTTAGGGCAAATTTGCAGGGTCATGGAGGGAAAGTGTAGACTGCTCCATTTCGTCTTCTATTGGTCTTCTACTTGAAAGACACTTGCCCTTCAGTCTCCTGGAACATTAGAACGATCACCACCTTGACTCGCAATATTACAGATTGTTGTTCAATATCATGTAGTCACATTTAGATTGAATTTCAAATAGCTGTCTTACTCGAAAAACATCCTGCCCTGCCGCCGCCTCGCGATAATGAGCTCGGGCAAGTACCTCCAACTCAAGCAGTATTTGAAGGCCCTTCCAGACAAACTCCCCATCTCACCTCCAGAGTCGAGACTCAACCGCTTGCTGAACTTCACGCTTGATCAAGATTGGGTAATTGATGCAGGAGAAGAAGCAGCCATTAATCGAGAACCGGAGGCTGCCTTGCATGACTTTCTCCCCAGAAATGATAATGGTATCTTTTACATCAAGGAACGAGGGCCAGGCATCGAAGCGCTGGCGGACGTACTCGAGTATTGGCTGCCAAAACATCCTGGATCAGTGATCTTGGAGTTATGGTTAAAAAGTGCGATCGAGTCTGCAAAGAAGTGCATATTGACTCACGGCAGGGAGGTAAGAGCTTGATCTCATCGATTCCGTCAATCGATTGACAATCCGAACGTGTTGGCTGTGATCCTAGCTTCCAGAGTTTGATCCCGAGCCTCAGAACATTCAACATGCTCCGAAAGGAAAGGCTACTGTGAAATCAGCTTCCAAGCAGTCGACATTGAATGTGACTCACCAAACAACCCTGTTCAACTTAACGGCCCCCAGCTCGCAACCCAAATCAAGTGCGACGTCGACAAAGAAGCTCGACACGAAAGCCCTCGCAGATACGATCAACCCCAATTATGTAGATGGTGCCGAGCCAGACGATCGTCGGGAGGGTGGACGCAAAACGTTGCCGTTGTTGCAGAAGATCTCACGACCATGCTATCCAGTGGCAGACGAGAGCAAGAAGTTGGCGCGTTGTCTCGCGAGCAAGGGTTGTCACACCACCTGGGGGTGGCCTCGTGATAGGACTCGTATCTTGAAGCATGCAGCGGCTTGCGGTTATCTGGCGAAAATGGAAGGGGGAGACTTGGTTCGGCAAGCAATTCACGAGCTCGCCAGGAAAGAACCTGGCCTGGTGAATAAGTTAATGAAGAACATGGGCGTCGCGCCAGAAGTTAAACGTCCCCACGACGATCTCATGGGAATTACTGGAGATGCACCACCCCTGAAACGCTCACGGACTGAGCCAATAATAGGAACACCTCGTGTCGATAACTTAGCAGCCTCGGATACCACAATCCGCGCTGGCCAACCAATGAAGGCCTTTCGGCTTGAAGGGAAAAAAGTACTTGAGGAGAGGGCAAACACTGCGCTAGTCAACTTCATAGTTTGTTGTGGGATCCCTCCTCGTGTTCTCGGATCCGATGAATTCAAGACTTTTGTAAACGCACTCAATGGGAATTACAGCCCTCCAAGCCGAACGACTTTTGAAGATAGTTTAGTGCCGACACATGCCGCCGCCATTAAACTTGTAATGATCAACTACTTCAAGACCTGTCGCGATTTGATGCTTACCTTCGATGGGGGAAAACTTGGGAAGAAAAAATTCTTTTCCATTCTTGCAACAACTGTTCATCGACAATCATTCTGCTTGGAACTTGACGACATATCAAGATTGAGTCAGACAGGCGAATATATATTTGAACTGGCCAAAAAGGTGCTGTTTGATCACCCGTTGTTTTCTCCGTGAAAATTCTGACAAGAAAGTTCAACAGTGGATTTTAGAAATTGGCATCAATAACTGGTGCGGCCTCTCATCAGATAACACTGGAAATACAAACAAGGGAAGAAGACTGACTGTGGAGTGGCTGATCCGATTGTTAGACATGGCAGATGCATGTCATAATCTTCACAACGCATGCAAAGATATATGCAATTTAGATGAATTCAAAGAGGTACGTCACACTCGTTTCTACACGGAAATTTATTGACAATTTTTATACTATCATTTAGATTATCAGCCAGTTGCGAGAGCTACTAGCTTTCATGAGTCTGTCCTCGTTTACTCAGGATCATTTTGATCTCGCTCGTGAGGAGCTTCATATTCCACGAGGCCTTCAATCAGTTGGTGAAACACGCTTTGGAACAATTTATTGGTCTTTAAACTCAGTCATCGATGGTATCCCGGCATTCAAGAAAATTGTTCGGGACCAAAGCATCGGAATTGAGAGCCAGGTGAGCTGTCAGGAAATTGATAATTAGTAGTGAACTGAGGATAGAAATACAGATGCTTCATGACATCTTTGATGACGATGAAGATGTTTTCATCTTCCTTCGAGACTTAAAGCGGTTAGGTGCAATACTCATGCCATTCGCTCGCGCAATTCAGTGCCTTGAGGCAAAGGATACAAACCCATCAGATGTTTATACATACTGGCTTGCGATTGTCGCCCATCTTCACGATATCATGGTAAAAGATGATGCACTGAAGGAGAAAGCAAAATATTCCCGAGCTCTGAAGGAAAAGATACACGCGATAGCAAACTTCCGGTTCTCGCAACTTATAGAAGATGACCGAGCTTCAAATATTTACCTCACCGCCTTTGTTCTCGACCCAGGTATGGCTTTTTAAATTGAAGTCAGGCATAAGCTAATTTTTTTTTCTTACATGCAGAAAACCGTGCGGCTCCAATCCTTGAGAATCCAAACCCACTCGCAATACCCTCCATAACCATCACCCGGGAGAAAGGAAAGAAGCCAGCTATCAAGACGAAGGCTGAAGCACTCCATGGTATTGGGTTGAGCCTTCTGAAGCTGTTACAAAGGGAGTACGGTGATGAATACCGCACAGGTCGCTCAGCAGAGGAGGCACGAAAGGCCATGGAGATCAACCCCCGGATTGCCCATCTGAATCCCCATGACGCCATTAGCGCTTTGAAGAAACAGTTCAAGGCATATTTGGTGGGCATCGAGCCATTTACGCGCAGGCGAGGACGGAAGGAGTCACTACGAGAGTATTGGTGCTGCTATCTTATGCAGGAGGACTCCGACATACTTGCGGTCTGTGCTACTTTGAATTCCACTCCACCCGTCAGCTAACCGCATTCCCATAGGCCCTCGCTGTAAAGATCTTCTCTGCAATGCCGGTGTCAATGGTCGATGAGCGAGCAATGTCAGTCGTGACTTGGCTGAACGCGCCGAGGCGAAAACGACAGGCGGTCTCGACGGTATCAAACCACCTAGCGATCCAAAACTTCAACAGGATGGATACAAGTGTGAGTAATGTTCATGCTTACCTGGATCCTCTTTCACTTTCTCACATGACTGGTGGCTACCACTTTTATCTATAACCTAGACTTAAGCCTAGAGGGTCATTTCTATAACTTAGACATAAGCCTAGAGGCCATATCTATAATGCTTAGGATTTTTTGAAAGGCATTTCAAATGTAGGCCTGGGTATTTCATAGTGAATTTTCCATAGATACCCAGTGCATTTTCTGCGAAATTTCAAATGCAGCCCTGGATATTTCATTGCGATTTTTCAATAGATACCCTGGGTATTTCATTGGGAAATTTTCAAATGTCACCCTTGGTATTTCATTGCGATTTTTCAATGGATAACTGGTGCATTTCACTGTGAAATTTCAAATGTAGCCCTTGGTATTTCATTGCGATTTTTCAATAGATACCCTGGGTATTTCATTGCAAAATTTCAAATGTAGCCCTGGGCATTTCATTGCGATTTTTCAAATGTATCCCTGGATATTTCATTGCAAAATTTCAATGGATACCTGGCGCATTTCATTGCGATTTTTCAATAGATACCCTGGGTATTTCATTGCGATTTTTCAATAGATACCCTTGGTATTTCATTGCGATTTTTCAATAGATACCCTGGGCATTTCATTGCGATTTTTCAAATGTATCCCTGGGTATTTCATTGCAAAATTTCAATGGATACCTGGCGCATTTGATTGTGATTTTTCAATAGATACCCTTGGTATTTCATTGCGATTTTTCAGATGTATCCCTGGGTATTTCATTGCGATTTTTCAATAGATACCCTGGGCATTTCATTGCGATTTTTCAAATGTATCCCTGGGTATTTCATTGTGATTTTTCAAATGGAGCCCTGGGCATTTCATTGTGGTTTTTCAAATGTATCCCTGGATATTTCATTGCAATTTTTCAAATGTATCCCACATGTCAGGGTCCATGCAATGGGCTTCCCTGGAGGGTGGTCACATGATGAATTACCAAAAATGGTCAAAAAATGAAAATTGTAGCCCTACACTGTAGCTTCCCAAATCTGTTTGAATTATGTTCTGAAGTGCTCCTGTTGTGGAGATATGAGGTAAAGGAATTTCAAAAGTGTTGGGTTTTTTTTTTTTTTTGTGTTTTTCTCTATGAAAACAAAACCAAATAACATGATTTCAGTATATTCAGAAAGCTAAAAGAAAGGGCTACAATCATTGTATTGTGGGAAAAATGACCAAAAAAGGAAGGTGCATCCCCTACTATAAGAATCAGATATAGATTTACTGATTGACTACAAAAAAGTCGGACTTAGACTACACAGTTTACTGATACACTATAAAAGACTACAAAAGTCAAACTTTGACTACAAAGTTTACTAATACACTACAAAAGTGTGGACTTAGACTACAAAGTTAGGGTTAGAGTCAAAAGGTTATCTTGACTACAAAGTTTGTAGTGTGCGCTTTTTCATTAAAAAAGTCTGTAGTGTCCGCTTTTTGAGACTACAAAAGTTGTAGTGTTGTGCTTTTTTATTAGAAAAGTTTGTAGTGTCTGCTTTTTGAGACTACAAAAGTTTGTAGTGTGCGCTTTTTTAGACTACAAAAGTTTGTAGTGTGTGCTTTTTTATTAGAAGAGTTTATAGTGTCTGCTCTTTCATTTGGAAAAGTTTGTAGTTGACATGTAGTTTATGGTGTCCTTGGCCCTATCTATGTTATGGGGATGAGGTTGAAGGATTGCCATCATATTGCCAGTGCTGTAGCATTAGTATTTGACATCATGCACAAATTGTCTTTCACATTAGGAAAGGCCATTCTATGTCTTTCATATTGATACCTCCTGTCCTATCTTAAAACATAATTATAAGTTCATGTGGGGATATGGCTGAAGGATTGACATGACATGACCAGTTTTTGACATCATGACCAAGTTTGGCTTTCACACTGTCTGCTTTCACATTGATAGCTACTGGCCTGTCCCAAACATAGTCAACTTTGATACAGGTCTTTGAGGGCTGTAGGATGATGGGCTGATTCATCCTTTGAGGTGTCTTTAAGACAGGTCATGTTGTAAGTTGACCATGTATTGAGTAAATATCAACATGAATAGCCTTCTCTAGCTTGAAAGCCAACTTGGGCAAGATGTGAGGAACTGATGATGTGGCAATAGCAATATGTAATGTCATGTCAATCCTTCAGCCATATCCCCATATGAGCTTACAATTATGTCTTGAGATAGGACAGGAGGTATCAATATGAAAGACATAGAATGGCCTTTCCTAATGTGAAAGACAATTTGTGCATGATGTCAAATACTAATGCTGCAGCACTGGCAATTTGATGGCAATCCTTCAACCTCATCCCCATAACATAGATAGGGCCAAGGACACCATAAACTACATGTCAACTACAAACTTTTCCAAATGAAAGAGCAGACACTACAAACTCTTCTAATAAAAAAGCACACACTACAAACTTTTGTAATCTAAAAAAGCGCACACTACAAACTTTTGTAGTCTCAAAAAGCGGACACTACAAACTTTTC